GGCTTTCACTTTACTGCATTTCTAGATCTAAACATCTTACATTACCTGAACAAAGGTTTTATGTATATAACATTCAATGTATTAAAATAATATGGGGCCTATGATTTTGGAGGCCCTGTGCTGTAGCACTGCTTGCACAGGCACAGGGCTGGACCTGTCTTTTAGGATGCTTTCAAGCAAGCAGGGAAAAAAATAAAATGCTTGGAAGTTATTGCAGCCTGACCTTTAATAAATCCTTAGTAGAACTGTTAACCAAATAAATCACAAACTTTTGGATAGGCTAGGTAGTTGCAGGCTTGCTGCCCTAAAATGTAAAAGTCAAATCCAAAACCCTAGGTGCGCTAAATTGATACCCTCGAGATGATTTTTAGAGGTAATTTTTCTTTGATTTGAATGATGGCAAAGTGATAATTGAGAAATTTTTATTGTTTATGATTGAGAATGCCACAAGTTCTGGGAAACAGGGAAAGGTTCCTTCAGTAGTGACTGTTGTAAATGCACCATAACATCATGATTAAAATAACTGTTCTATTATGAATTACATGAATCATACTGTTAATCTGCATAATCTATTGATTCTTGCTTGTTTATGTTATTTTTGTGCTAGATGGCATGTAGTAGCATATGTATGCTCTCATTGTAAACTTTACATTGTTTTAAATGGCAGCTTCTGGAACTTTGATTCCTTGTTCCAGCCCCAACAACATCCCGCCCGTGATTCTCATGACACATTCTTTTTGGAAGGTTAGTAAAATATTGATTTTTTTAATGCTACTCAAATCTTCTTTGCTTCCTCTTGAGTGCATATTATTCATGCGCAGCTCCTTCAACAACAAAGAAACTTCCTGAAGATTATGTTCAGAGAGTAAAGCAAGTTCATGAATTTGGTGGTTATGAGTCTAGAGGGTATGTGCCTGAGCGCACTCTATAAACTTCTTAATCGTAGGCTATTTATCAATAGAGATAAGTTTCAAATTACTTTGAGTGTAACCTTATAATTCTATTACTTGGTAGATATACATACGACTGGAAAAGAGAGGAAGCAAATAAAAACCTTCTGCGGACCCACACAACTGCTGTTTCTTCCAGGATGCTTTACCAGCTAGCACAAGTCTGTATCTGTGTCTGAATTTGTTGTGTCATGTTTTTGTGGATGCATATGATTGTGTTGTGTTTGGGGGCCATTGGACCTCGAATGTCATTTTTATTTTTCCTAAAGATTTTAGATGGAAATTTATGTATTTATGTCTTAGAGGTAGATTAAGCTATTTTAGTTTGTGCTTCTATATTCTGGTTTTTTCCCTTTCCCTATTTTCAAAGATAATTGATTATACTTTCTAGGTTGTTGCTACTCATTATAGCCTACATCAATTTTCTTCTATGCCTTTTCAATGTCTCTGCAGAAACCATTTGTTCCAAAAAAATATTTCTCTATAGATCGTGTCTTCCGGAATGAAGCGGTGGACCGAACACATCTTGCCGAGTTCCACCAGATAGAAGGTACGTGAGCTAGTAAGTTACTGGCATCAGGGTTTTTCACATCACTTTTTTGCATTTGATGCACTGGGGGTTTAATCTCAGAACTATTTTTCCACATTCAAATTTATTGATTCTTATGATACCCTTGATTTTGCATTTCAATTCAGGCCTTGTATGTGATCGAGGACTCACCCTCTGTGACTTAATAGGAGTTCTACATGATTTCTTCTCACGCCTAGGTAATGATGCTATCTAATGAATAACTTTTAATGAGCTAAATGTTAAATGTAAGTTCTAGTTAAATGATTAATGCCCACTCAAGTTTACTAAAGAGGTTTTAGGATTAGGAGTACATGTATTCTGTTATTGATATTGGATGAAAATTTTGTTTGAGTTCAGGCATGACCAAGCTGAAATTCAAGCCTGCTTACAATCCTTACACAGAACCTAGCATGGAGATTTTCAGGTCAGTCTTTCCGTAATGTTATAATTTATTTGGCTTGTCATTATCTTGATAATGGATATCCTAAGATATTACCTATTAATCAAGTGCTTGTATAACAGTTATCATGAAGGCTTTAAAAAATGGGTAGAGGTAGGAAACTCTGGCATGTTCAGACCTGAAATGTTGCGGCCGATGGGACTTCCCGAAGATGTCCAAGTTATTGCATGGGGTCTTTCTCTTGAAAGGTGGGAACAAACACTAAGAAAGCCACAATCATTGCTAACTGTAAAATGATTTGATTTATAAAATTGAAATTCTTTAACAATTTTCTAACCAAATCTAATGAATTTTGGAGGAAATGCAATACATGTTTATGGAGGTCATTGAGTTGATGTTACCTTGTTATTTTTGTAAACAGGCCAACAATGATTATGTATGGAATAGATAACATCAGGGATCTCTTTGGACACAAGGTACTGTTAGCCATTTTGAGTTGAAAAGACCACTCTGTTTTTTTTAGTGTAAAAACTTGATGGATGGGTTCAAATTTTCAATTTCCAAATGCTGTTTTTGAATTTGGCAAGTCATATTAATATGTTATCCTAAATCATATTTTTGCAGGTGGATCTTGGTCTCATTAAGAAAAACTCAATATGTCGACTTGGAATTGAATGAAGTGAGCCATTCACTTTTGATAGATTTCTTGTCCATAATATTTATTACATGTGGATTAGTACTAAGAATTTTGATTGTTGTAATAGAATTTTTCTCTTGGTTTGGAAGTATTATGACATGGGAAAGTTACCCCATTGTAATTTCTTTTGGTGTGGAAAAAGTTATGGAACCTGTTCTTGATTGCATTGCTAAATGTTTGAGCTTTAAAAATTGACCAAGTTGATAAGAGTGAGGATTATCATGATAATGGTAAAGCAAAATGCGTGTTATTGTTATTTTTAAATTGAATTCTCAACTTCAACCATAACCATAAGAGCCTTTCACAACTATAAGTAAGTCTTGGAGTTAAATTTTGGTTTGTTTATTGAGTAAGTAAACATATATTTAACTACAATAAATATAAAAAATTTTACCCAAAAAATTCATTGGCGCAAGATATTGAACTTGTTTCTTACAATAGTATAAATTAAAATGTGCTAAAATTTCAAGTATAATTGTCTATTGTTGTTCAAATGCTCAATAATTTTTTACAACAATGCCATTTTATTGGACTAAAACAACTGCAGTAATAATGTGTTAACAAAAATTAAAATGTGACAAGTTTAATTATCATATTTAGAAAAGTTGTGTTAACCTCGTATTAGTGAGTGAGTAAAAGGGTGTGCATAGAGCGCAATTGATGGTTGTTTCTTTTACTCGGTGAGACACGTCCCATACTAAGTAAAAGAGCAGGGTGTGCATAAGAGCCTTTGAAAATAATTTGTGCGTAATTATTTTTATACACTATATTGCAATATGAGGCGTACCTTAAGCTTTAAGTTAGAGGCGAACAATTAAGCTTTAATTAGAGGCGTACTTTAAGAAACATGTTTGTTCTTAAAAGATGTTTATAGTATTTGATCTTTATTGAATCAATCATCAAAATTTTTATTTTACTCTTTTCGAAGCAGATCTATTATTTGATGTTCATAATGTTGATATTGTTCAGGCAATTATGAATACATACTTGCACGACCACAAGATCATGACCGATGAGGAGAAGGACTAGCGTAGCATTGTCTCGGCAGATGAACAAAGACGTTAAATGGTAACATTCCATCCTCAAGCCAACCTCAAACTAGCCACTAGATATAACATTGAAAGTAGTTAGGTTATGAGAATGAAAAGATTCAAGAGAAACGAAAGTTGATTTTCATATGCAGCGTCCCTGTTATATATTGGAACAAAAGACTATTGATCTAGTGATGGAGATTGGAGGACGCCATGAAATTCTTATGGTTCGACTTTCAAAGCTATTATCAGAGTAACGTCACTTATTTATTTATTAAAAAAAAAAACTCTCATGTTTAGGTTTTTAAAAGATACTACATCAATGAAGTGACTCATCAATTAGCTAGGAATTAAATTAGGATGGCCATATAGGTCGTTTTCAATTATTTGTTGATGTTACATACTTCAATATGTAAATACCTGCTTCAGCTTCTGTCATTATAACTTGTTTTATAAATATATCGTTAAACCTCATTGATGGACTTTTAAATGCTTAGTAACGTGAGCCGTTGAACTAGAGGATGAATACAAAATGTCACAAAAGAATAGTCCTTTAGCTAATGCGACTTGCCTCATAAAAATATTACACACTGGAATAATTCTTCATCAAAGAAAAAATATTGGAATAATCCATAACTGATTGAAATGATTAAAGAATTAATCTGTAATATATCTTAACAAACTATCTGTGGTCGACAAAGATTCATGATGCTTTGAGAACGATAGTATCTTGAAATAGGGTGACCGTAGTTTTCCGCAAATAATTTCACTACCACAGAACATTGTTCACCTTATAAAAAACAAGCAAATTGATGAACTGTGTACTCAGAGCGCTTGTAGCAATACTGCTGTTCACAGAAATCCTGAGCAAGACAGATTTAGAAGGGTATCATATATAAATCTGAGCGTTGATCTTTCAAGAGATAGGTTGAGTTGAGTTTGATGTTCAACCAGTATATAGGACTCAAGGCAAGAATGTTAACCAAAGATTAATTGTTGGTCAAAGTTCCCATGTCCCTCATTAGGAAAAAAACAAGTCTTGAATATCATGAAAAAAGATGAGCAGGAATTGAATTAGACTTTGTTTGGAACGGATAAATTGCTTAATTAAGCGCTTACAGCATAAAACATTTATCATACAAAGATCTTATGTATAAGCGGTTTCTATAACAAATGTCAATAAATTCAAGTTATTTTCATATTAACTATAAATTGTTTCCATAAACTATCTTAGATAGCTAATGAAAATAAGCTGAAAACAGCTTATGGACGTGCCATAAACTTTTTCCATGAGCTATCCTATACGACCTCACGAGTATGTATGTTAGTTCAGTAGATAGATTAATATAAGTCAATCCAACTGGGCTATCGGTGAAAGCAAACTCCTTCGACAAAAATAAACATGATAATGTACATTTAAGTGTGTAGCGTATACCTTAAAACCATCTTTGACATTGCAAGAAGTAGACAGGCAAATCTGCTTTTGGCACACTCCACAGTGGCGTTTTTCATTGGCACACTCTGCAGCAATTCTATTTTCACAAGTGTTGCCGTGGATGAAAAATTGTAAGCTCTTTTTTTTTTGTTTTACCATGACAGAGGCGCTCCTTTACTGAAATGTTTCTCCGGCACTATACCATCTGTTACAGAGCCATTAGCACCCGTCTTTGAGAAAAATAATCACGATTTTAGGACAATTACTAGTCTGACCAATGAAGTTAATAAGACAAACTTACTACATTGCTTTACTTCTAAAAAATCATTCATGTTCTGTTTCCCACAGAGCCATCAGTTTTGCTTGTTACGTCTGGGGTGTAGTAATATCCCCAGTATCAAGAGATTGGGGATGCGGAGTATCCCCCTTCATGACAGTAGATTGAAATTTGTGGCGTTTTCGAATCGTATTCTTGACCATTTTGTTAAACTCTTCATCTGTACAAGCTAACATGCATTTTAGCTTGACATTTATCTGATTCTCCACCAGAACCTTGTGTCTTGGGATTATTCGACCCTCGAGAGAATAGCTGAAAAACCTGATAACAAGGGAATTGGACAATTGAAGTCAGCAACACGATGGACTAAAAAAACATTAAAAATTAAACAAGATTTGTACAAACTGTGTATCTATGGTCAAAATATCATTTTGATACCTCGGAAACTCAATGAGATCTTGCAAAGTTCGGACCATGGTTTTCCGCAAATACGTATACTTAGGACGAAGAACATCTATATTGTATCTCAGCAGCATTGGGAAATCAGCGACCATTTCACCCAGTTGCCGAAGACGAATGCCAAGAGACAAATGATATTTTACATTTACTTCGAGCTTATGTACTATGCTGCACCCCAAGAGCTCAGGTCCAAGAGCTACAACCTTTCCAATAGATTCTTCAGTGACTCCAGCCTTGGTCATCAAGAATATGACCTTAACAACATGCAAATTCAGCCCATGAGTCAATTGAGGCCTCTGGACCAGCCAGTAAATTAAAATGTAGTTAAAGTGATAAACTATTGTAGCGGTGAGGCTTCGGAAAAATAACTCCATGGTAACGAAATTTGTAGCGGAAAAGGAAAGGGACATACCACAGGCCTAATCTTCTTGTACAGGCTGTAGGTGAGTAGAGTAGGAAACTTTACAAGCATGTTCGCAATCCCGTCATTTCGAACCCCTAGGTCCTGAAAAAACTTTACCTTCATGACAAAATATGCAACAAAACTATCAGTAATATCATCACGAAACAAGATAGAAACCATTGCAAATTTTATTTATGAATCTACTAGATATCAATATTAACAAAACAAGCCTCAACACAGAACGGTAACTAATAAAAATAGTTTTTGCATACCTTTGGTACAATGGTCATCTCCAAGTCAACACAAAAGACCATCGGTTTAATGGTAAGCATCCTCTTCATCCCATCTCGGGTAATCCCATAATAGTACAAATACTTAACAAGAGGTTTCCATTGTTCTTCAATGCTGCATGCCATTAATTGTGGCCTAAATGCAAGCAGCTTACCAACATCCTTACTATCAAGTCCGAATTCTTTCAAGTAATCAACCTGAAAATTACAATTGTTGCATCATCATACTTTATCTGTATATCAGAAGCAATTACCAACACACATGCTACTAAAGCGGAACAAACTATCAAAACATTAGAGAAACAACAAGGATATATTACAATGTGACTTTGACCTTATAATGTTTGTTAAAAACTAATCTACCTTTCGGTTCATTTCTTCCATAGTATAGTTACCAAGTGCTTTAGGAAAATCGAAAACCATGGTACCAAAATCCTTCTCATCTAAACCCATATCCAGATAGAACTGGACACGAATCTTCACTTCTTCCAAGCTGTAAGATAACAACTTCGGACACCGACTCACAACATAACCCATCCATTCCCTCCTTACACCATTGGACTCTAAACACTCAACAATCTCATCAAGCTCCTGATCACTCCGCAGCAAAATATTATCTCCACCCTTCAACATTGCCTCCCCAATAAAGTCTCCCTTAACATGCACCGACTTCAACCACTCAATCCGGTTCCTTATGGACTCAAGTTTCCCCCTTGACATCATAACGAGCTTAGCTATCTGAGGATACGATAGAGAATTATGCTTCAACCATCTATAGAAATTAAGAAATACACAATCAATATACAAACAAACACTTAGGAAAACTTACAATAACACAACACACGCAGCAAATTGGTTTGTTTCACTTTCACAGGAACAATAAATCAAACAGCTTATCAACAACTTGAAAACAGTAAAAATTAAAAACATACCTAATAAGTTGCACAACTTGTGAATCTTCAATAACAGTTTTGGCGCGTAAATTGAAAGTGGATTGAGAATACTGAGGCAATCTTTTCAAGTTAGCAGCTTCAATCATAACATAATCAATGAAACCACCCAACCTAGAAACCAGATTCTCTATATAAGTAATTCCAAATTTACCCTTTCTCATAGCTTCTTTGAAAACCTCTTGAGTAACCTTCCTACGAATTCCAAGAGCTTTCATAATCATGACCTCTTCTTCTTCTTCATCATCACCGGAAGATCTAAAAAGGGTACGAAGAGGAGGAAGAGAAGAACCCACATCAGAGTCAGTAGGGGATTGAGCATAAATTGAACCAGGAAATTGTGGGGTTCTTTTCCTTACTAAGGAAAGTTCTAAAAGCTTAACTTTTTCTTCGTGCGGTGTTGGGTCTTGTAGTTCGGTGGGTGAAGGGTGGTGATTGTCGCTGTTTTTGTGTGAAAGGTGGTGGATGAGAAATGATGTAGATTTTGAATTGTGTCTCCTGGGAATGTCGTTTGGGTTTTGGCAATTGATGATGATGTTGGGTCTTGAGTTCTTTGAGGAATGGGTAGAAGAATAAGGAAGGTAAAGAGTGTGATTTTGACATGAAAGAAGCATTTTTTTTTCAATGGTGATAGGTATTAACAATGGATAAGAGCTAACAGATGTCACACTTCTGGTTACGTTTGCGAAGAAGAAAAACAATATCTACGAGGAGAAGAGAAACATATTTTCAGAGATAAATATTCATTGTTTAAATTAATTTACATTCAAAGGTTGACAACAACAAGGTCCCATGGTCTAGCGGTTAGGACATCAGACTCTGAATCTGGTAACCCGAGTTCAATTCTCGGTGGGACCTAACTGTTTTATAATTTCTAAAAATTTTATTTTTCCTTTTATTAAATGAAATCAAAATTGGTTTAGTGGTGTTTGACTTTAGACTTTATAAGGAGGATCATAGTTCAATCCCTCTAATTTTTATGGTAAATTCCAAAAAAAAATCAAATTAATAAAAAAATACTTTGCAAGTTTTCTATTATTATTACATTTTTGTTTAACTTTATGGATTGTTAGACCGGTTTTTATCTTTTTTGAAATATTCATGTTGTCTTATATAAAAAGCTATAAATATCATACATGTGAGTAAGGTTGTTTTTGGTTTGGGTTAGTTCAGGTATGAAGCCTCTCGAAGAATGGATCGAAACTCTAATCGAGTAAATCGAGCCGGATCATAACCGTGATAGAATTATTTGTTGGCTCGAAATCGGTCTGATACGTTCGGGTAGACCGAGATCGGACCGAATTTAAATTACTTGCTTTATGATAACCGAGACCGGTCCGATGATTTTTGGTTGGGTAACCAGACCACCCGAAATATAAGCAAAAAATAAAAATAAACTTCGGAATTTCTAACATGTTTAATTCAGTCAAAGTTTCTAAAATGTTTGAAAAACTAAATAACATCATTTCCAACATAATATTGTGCATAATTTTGATATTACATTCACATTGTAGTATCATTTTACATTGTATCATTGGACATTATATTACAAAACCAGCTCAAAAAACTTGTTAAAACATAAGTTATGAACTTGTATTTTCAAAAAAGTATAAAATATCATTATATTATATTAATGATGCCTCAAAACAATCTTATCATTGGCATTGCAAATACAAATCTTTAAGTGGCACCTGTAGAAGAAGCGACACCCAGATCTTCACCAAAATGATATGTCAAAGGTTGATCTTGTGGTTCCTCAAGCTACAAAAGGAAATGTATTAGTGAGATAGAATATTAAGCAATATGTATTAAATTAAAAAAGACATGAAAAATTTACTTATAATACTAGCATTGTAGCCCTTCTTAATCACATACTTCTCCTTCACCCAATCACCTCCACAAAGTGCCATTTCAATTGTCTTAATTTTTATAGATGACTGTTTCAGATCAATAACCCTTTTCACAGCACTAAAAGTTACTTCTGAAGCAACAGTAGTAACTGGAACAGTTAGGATATCATTTGCCAATTTACTAAGAACGCGATACTTGGGTTCATTCCTCATTCACCATGTTAAAACATAAAATTTAGCTTTAGGGAGAACTTTCAAGGGAGACTCCTCAAGATATAATTCAAGATCATATTTTGAATTATTATTACCCACAACAGTTTCTAAAAACCTCTCAAAATTCCTCATTCCCAACCCAAAACTAGATCCTACTTCCGGACTTTCAGATACATGGACAATCTCATCATTGGTTCCATAGGTATCTTGATATAATTGGAAAAGGGAACTTAAGTTGGTTGACAACTCTTGTTCATAGGCAGTTGCTTAATTAGGATTTGGATACAATAAGGGATATACTCATTTGATGAAGATCATCTTATACCTATTAAATCAAGCTTTAGTATAAGGTAATAATACTAGCCTCAGAATAATTCACAAGGCAACATATTTGGCCTCAAAATTAATTTTCATCATGGACACAAAACAACTTACAAGGAGGTAATATAATAGGCCTCAGACACAATTAAATTCACAAATAGGTAACAAAATAGGCCTTATTAGATCAGATACTATAATCAAATGAAACAGATCAGACAAAATTCATCATAAGCACTATTAAATCGCAACTAACAAGGTAACTTAATAGGCACTATTAAATCACAAATCACAATGCAGAATAGGCCTCAGATATTAATCATAGGCTAAATTGAATCACAAGGCAACATAACAAACAAATCATACATAGTTGGCCTCAAATATAAAATATTCAAATCAAATAGAATTCATCATAGGCACTAAGAAATAACATGAGATCAAACATAAATCATCATAGGCTAAATTGAATCACAAGGCAACATATCAAGCAAATCATACATATTTAGCCTTAGATATAAAACATTCGTATAAAATAAAAATCATCATAGGCTATATTTAATCACAAGGAAACATATCAAGCTACCTAATACACAATGCAATGGCAACTTAATTAATGACCATACCTTGGATCAAGAACTGCACCAATAGAAATCAATGTATTGGACTCTGACCAATACTTATCATATTTTAACTTCATGTCATTAGCAAACTCCTGCAACTGAGGATTATTTGAGATGCTTAAAGGTTTATCAAGTAGAACCTTCACCCTGTAAAGCTCAGCCAAAAACAGATTAGCAGTAGGGTAAGAGGTGCCACTTATAATTGATGTAACATTAGCTAAAACCTCTAAAAACTTGCAAATTTCATGAACATCTTCCCAATCATTTGTCTCAGGCAAAAAGCTGAGAAATGCACCATTTTCCTCAGTATATCTAGGCCACGCATCTCTGTAGGGGTATGTAGTGGACAACATCAACCAAGTTGAGTTCCACCTTGTCTTGGTATCCAACACTTGCATTTTGCCTTCAAGTTGCAACTCATCAACAAACTTTTTGAATGCTTTACATCTAATTTCAGAATTCAACAAGTATTTGACATTATTCCTAATCTTATCAACAATCGCCTTAATCATATCAAGACCATCCAGAACCAACAAATTTAAGATGTGTTCACAACACCTTACATGAAACAATTTACCATCTAATGGTAAATTTCTCTTACCAGAATAATTCCTCTTCAATCTAGTAATGCAGTTATGATTGGCACTAGCATTATCTACATAAGTTGAAGCTACCTTATTCCTTATTCCCCAATCATTCATCACCTTAATCAGCTCCCTAAGCAAAACCTCCACAGAATATGGTGGTGGCACATTCTTAAAAGATAAAACTCTTTTGTGAAGCTGCCATTTTGAATTAATGAAATGACCAGTCACAATCATATAATCTATCTACTGTTCACCAGACCATCACAAGTCAGTGGCAAGACTGACCCTGTTAGTCAAAGCCATAGACCTTTTCATCTTAACTCTCCTAGCCTTATAAAATGTCTAACAATCAAATTTAACTTGTTGCCTAGTAATATTTTTGTACCGTGGATAAATCTCTCTTAGAAACTCATTAAGTATAACACCTTCCATAACAAAAAAAAAGGAAATTCATGACCTAGAATCATATGTGCTGCAATTTCTCTAACCCTAGCATGATTATGTCTAGGTTGCCAAAATAGGAGTATTATCATCTATGTTTAACCTAGAATGTGCAACCTCTTTGTCATTATTACTTTTCAACCTCAACTTTATCTGAATACAAGCTTCTAAATGTTTATTACCATTAGTGGTACTTTTCCATTTCGTGTCATATGTGTAAAGCTTACCACACCATATGAACTTCCACTTCTTAATGCCATCAGGTCATTCAATAAAACACCATTTCAGTATGAACAAATTTTTTTTGGGACGAGGAGCGTTACCAAAAGCATTTCTCTGACTCTGAGAACTCTGATCTTGGTCAACTTGAGGGGTTGACCCATCAGTATTAGTAGTATTTTGAGTAGTGTTATTTTGAGTATTAGTGTTTTCAGTGGGGGGTAGTTTGAGTAGTGTTATCAGTTGGAACTGGAAGCTACAAATCAACCATCTTACTAATCTCTAAGTTACCTTCATATGTTGTCTCCTCTTCCCTAATGTCACCAAGCAACATAGTGATATCAATCAGATCATCCATGGTTGGAGTCAATGAGGAATCTTGAAAAGACATGGAAGAAATTACAATGAATCAAACAATAATGTAATAGGAAATTAGAACAAAACCCAGCAACATAAGCCCTACTTTATTAAGATCAGAAGACAAACAATTATTCAAACATGAAACACAAAAATCAACAACAGAAAACCCTAACCCTTTATTATTACCATTTACCAAAACTTGGCAACAAAAAACCATAACCCTTTATTATTATTAATCAAATGTGAAACACAAAACTCAGGTCAAAACTTTAACATGCATTTATAAACTCCCAAACAATAAAAATATTTAGGTCAGAAAGTAACAAAATATTTTAGGTAAAAAAGGGTTAAAAATGAAATATGGTAATAAATGATTCATCAAATCAAACATGCAAACATGGTAAAGATAAAGAATAGTATAAGAAAAATAACAAACAAAATAGGTTGAATACATTACAAGTTTATGGAAACCTTGAACGATTAACTCTAACTCTCTCTGAAATAGATATACTCAACACTCATGAAGAAGAAGAAGAAGAACATGTAAAATCAGTAACAGGAGACATCAACCATATCAGAAAGAGCTGAGGGGAAGAGGAGGTCGTCGGAGGGAGGAAGAAATGAGAGACATGGGGATCATAACTCAAGGAGTTGGAAAAGTGAGCTAATGAAATGAAAACAAAAGTTATATTATTTGTTTAAGTTACCCATTGGATAAATCGTTCGGATCTTTATTATGAATTCAGATTAAATTTTTATCCATTCTCGGTCCATGTCTTGGTTCGGTTGGTCTAATGGGCCAGGTCTACCGGTCCGATTCTCGGGTAGATCTCGATTCCTGAAGCCCAAAAACAACCCTACACGTGAGATTATTATAGGATATCAATTATGATTTATGACTTAAAGGAGGTTAGTAGTTGAAGAGAGGTTTTAGGAAGGTATTACATTTTATCCTAGGATAATTTATTGCCTTAAATGATATATATGTGCAGTATCATGGACATGG